CTGTAGGGCTATTGGAGGAAGAACTAAGAATTGGGGATGGCACAAAGAACCCCAAAATATGCCTGTCATCTACAACCTGACACCTGATCTGATTCCACTGTGGAGGAATGAACCACATGCTCCTCAATGTCACTGTTGTCTTGATGTACAGAATGGGGTAATGTTGGCCACTCGGGCTATCAATAAGATTCTCTTAGTTTCTAAATTGCTTTGACACAACATATCGGAGGCATCTTGTAGACCCACACACAGCAAGAAGTGTCATTTGTCAAGTTGGATGTAAAATAAATTAAGTTGAATTCTTCTGTCCATAGGCATTAATGTGCCCCAAAGGGACCAATATACTAACTTGGACAGAACTTACAAAGTTCAGTTAGTGTCACCTCCTCTGTTTCCTACTTAACTGCTCCCCCCTCTGTGCTGGCCGAATAATATCATAATTGCTGGTTGTTATATATGTCTCCCCAGCGGGCTGATATTCTATAAGACAGAAACTATGTCTTATTTATCTTTGTATCTCTGGTAGTTCACACAAATTAGTAGCTTGCTGACTGTTCTGCAATCAGCAAGAATTTGTTTGATGACTGTAGGGATTTTTATTGAATGACAGGTATTAGATCAGAATCCCATCCCAATTCTGAATATGCCCTGAAGAGTGCCTTCCAGTTCATATTCTTTAGAGTCCTGGTAAAAGTACTCAGGGACCATGCACTTCATATTTCTATACCATAATTCACAGCAAGAAAAGGTGATTCTGACCCCCACACCTTTCAGGGCCCTGATAGTGGGGAAGACCATTAGAGAAATTCGGATAGCTAAAATAATTCAGCTCAACAATTTAACAAAACTTTTTTGGTCAGTGCCAAGCACTGTTCTAAGCTTTTATCTTGTGGGCTCCTCATTGTAACCACAGTTGGGTACTGTTATTGTACACATTTTATATAGGAGATGCTGGGACAGAAAGATGGAGTAACTTGCCCAAATGAGGGAGGTTGTGTGAGTATTCCATACGCCTCTCACCTTTGAAGAAGGCAGAATGAATCATTTCTTCCGCATTCCTGTAGACTCAGCACACAGGTGTGGACTTCATTGCATTATTAGTAAATAGAGAGCCATGTCAGACTCGTTGACCAAGTATTGAGTTCCTGGAGAACTGGGACTGTGTGTTCATTGCTTTTTTTTTTTTTTTTTTTTTTTTTTTTTTTTTTTGCCTCCCCGCATTGCAGAGTGACTTCTCAATAAGTGTCTTCTGAATAACTGAATGAGGGGAGTCCCTTTCCCAAGCTACCCCTTCTGGGGAATCACCCAGAGAAAGGGATGAAGACAGACTCATTCTATTGCCTCAGTTGTGTTGTGTTTGTGTGTCTGTGTCCACAGTGGGCTGCTGAAGTCTGGGGGAACTGATTGGCATTTAAAACTAATCCTCTTTATTTTGCTCAAGTAAAAGTAGATTTTTAAATAATTTTTTGAAAGTTTTAGAGAGTCAAAGTAGTGTTTAAAACTATGTGTAACTTGAAACTGGGCAATTCCACTTCAAGTTTAGGCTGAGACTCTTCAAGGCTGAATGCCCAGAGACCACAAATGTACGTGAGTGTGGGGCTGAGCAGGACACGCAGAAGACAGGGGAAAGGAAAGGAGCTGCATTCTGTAGACGGCTGGGACGGTGTCACGCTGGAATGGGCCTGCCAGTTATTGCAACGTGAAGAGGGGGATCCAGATTAGCCAAGTTTCGTTTTTCAATAAATCCCAGAAACTTCCATTTTCAAATATTGGCTGTGGTAGATTGCAAAAAATGGATCCAAGTTGTTCCCTTCCCTCTCTCCAAGCCCTCAGGCAGAGCCATCACACACTGGCTCTTGGGACTCACTTTGGCCAACAGGTTATTCACAAAAAGGGATGCAAACACAGGCTTGAAGCTTGCTTGCATACTGGAGCTTGACTTCTTGCTGCCCATGGAACCCCTGTCTCCACCGCAGCAGTGAAAAAAGTGGGCAAACTTTATGAGTAGAGGTGTGTGACCTAGACTGGCAACAACACATCACTTGCTAGTCAAGCAAGTGAGGCCATCTAGATCACCCAGCCTCAGCCAGCCCACCTCAGATTCGGGGGAGCCGAGGAGAGTTCCACTGAGTCGTCCCGGAGCAGAGCAGGCAAGCCAGCTCCCAGAATTGTGTGCTTAAGTTTTAAGCCAATCCATGATGGGATGGTTTGCGATGTAATAAAAACTAATTGATAATAAAATTTAAATATCTTTCAAACTGAGCAAAAGAGGAATCCAGTTCACTGTAACCTCTGGTGAATGTAAAGATTTGACAACAATGACTTCTTTTACATGACTTTATAATAGGCAAAAAGCAAAAACCACCTGAAGATCCATATAATCTGCTAGGAAGTGTTTAGCAAGTCATGGCACATACAGATACTGGAAAGGTATTAAAAATGATGGTGTGGAATAGCAGCCACACAGACATCTATGGTATGCCACCCAAGTCTGGATCAATAGGGACGATTTTACTCCCCCCCGCCAGACACACGCTCTACGGAACTGGAATACCGAGCTGAGTGGATTACACAATGCAGTGGAGAGGGCATCTTGCTGCAAGGAAGAGAATAAAAAGCTCAGAAGAGCCCAGAATGTTTACAGGAATGTGCTCAACTTTGTTTTTTGAGGATATAAAAGTACACAGTGGCGGCAATAAACAGCTTGACTCAAGTGATGACAGGATGTAAACAGGGAGTCAGGCAAACGTTTTGACAGTGAAAGCCATTGTTATACGTAGCAGCTAGTGTCTTTTAATTTCTTCAAATATGCTGCCGAAACTTACAGGACTTAAAAGAGTTCTCCAAACACAAAGAATGTCGACAATCACTGGTACAGAAAAATCTTTACTGATGTGAAAAGATATGTTAACTAAAAGAAACCAATTATAAAACAGCATGTACAATACAATCTAGTTTTTGTTATATAAAGAATATGCAGGCATAGACGGTAACTAGAGGACAGGGACCAAAACTGGGGTGTAACTGTAGTTACGCGCCTTTAGAAGGCGCGACTGGGGTAATTCTTGTTTTTTTTCTTCTTGCTTATTGGTATTTTTTTCAAACTGCTATAGTACTATTTTTGTGATGAAAAAATTTCATAAAAGTTATAATTTTTAAAAAGTTTGGGGACACACATACATGTGCATGCACATGAATATGTACAAACACACACACCCTAACTAAACCAACTGGAGAGAGACTTTTTAAAAATCTTTGTTAGTGCCTGCAAATGCTCAGCCACATGATTGAACTCATTCGTTGGGAGTTAGCAATCTCTGAAATTGTACAGTCTTCTTCCACACAAACACACATGGACTCTTTGCTTGGGAGGTAGGCTGATGTCATGTAGCATCACTCTCTGGGGCCAGAGGTAGAAATGAGGCAGTGATCTGGAAGTTCTGTTCTTCCATTCTGCAAATCTCCTGCAAGAATGTGAGCAGGTCCACACAGGTGCAGCTGCCACGTGACACTAGAGACACCCTGCTCATGGAGGGCTGCGGGTCAGAGATCTCTAAAGGCCCCGGCAGCCCACCGTGGGCCACTCTGTCATGACTTGTCCTTCACTGTTGACAGAGCCCAGAAGTATCTCTAAACATGACAGATTCCTTACAAATGGCAGGAAGGTGACCTAGCTAATCATCTGACCCACTTCTAAAATGCCATCTAGTCAGACCCAGCAGAGCTGAGCTATACTCACTCATCCATAAATGTGGTGAGAGCAAAAGCCAAAGAACCCTCTATTAGTAAATCCAGAGGGACAAAGAGCAACATGACAAGTCCAAGGTTCGAAAGGACAAGCAGTGTATTGAAGATGCCATAGAAGTATAGTCTATCACTGGACACAGTGATGGGGCCACAGTATGAAAATTTTACAAGATAATGAATTAATGGCTGGGCATTCAAAAGGACAATTAGAGCTGATGAAGCCAGTGGGTCATTCTTCTTAAGTGTTTGCTGAACTGTGAAATAACTGACCTTTCTGAGTGAAGGGAATGTGGTTATCAGACATTCAAAAGGATGTCACCAACACACCACTGTCATCTTTTTGAGCACCCACTTCACATTCAACTCTACTACTCTATACACTTGACCTCAGAATGGAGAGAGATAAAAAGTACAATTATTTTCCCCTTTAAAAAATCCTGAATTAGGTTAGGATTAAGAAATAGATTCTTCAATTACTCAGAAGGTCAGATCACAAACTGGGGATGCTCACTCGTCCCTCTCGTGATTGGACCCTTTACAGGCTTAGTAAAATCACATCATATTATAAAACTAAGAAGCATGGTACGAGCACTTCTTCCTCCACTATGCAGCTTTGTCTGTGAACTGCACCCAGGTTCAGCCACAGCAACAAGTTAGCAGCTCACATTTCCTGAGAGGCAATTATGGGCCAGGCAGGCACTAGATGAGCAGAAATTATTCCCTTATCATCCCCCAAGTCTTGGAGGTGGGGACAACCACTTTCTCATTTTACAAATGAGGAAACTGAGAGCCTTAGAAAAGTGAAATAACTTATCCAAGGCAATTCTGCTCGTAGGAAGAGAGCAGGCCTGGAGCTTCCTCAGTGAGCTTGTGAGAGAGGAGGAGAGAAGCCTCGTGGAGCAGCGGGAAAGGGCACACAGAGGCAGCGCTGCCAAGCCCGCATTCTGGCTCGTTCACCCAGGCAAATCACTTAACCTCCCCCTGGCGGAGGTTCACCTCCCTTGCCCCACTACTTCATAGGATTTTTGTGAGGTCCAAATAAGATCCCATATATGAAAAGTCTTTAAAACAGTAAAGCATTGGACATATATGCATTATTAATAAAAAGGCAGAAGACTAAATCATACTCCTTAAGGCGCAACACTTCAATCACTAGGGCTCAATGGAGAGGCCACACCCTCTTTAGTCCCCAGACTAAATCCTTTAAATAAAAGGTACAAGACTTTCTTAAGCAACCTTTTAAAGATGAAGAGCTCAGGCATACATGCTGGTACTTGAACTGGTCTTTGCAGGGAGCTTCAGTGTCTTAAATTTAATGCAGACACCCTGCCCGAGCTACTTATCTTGATTAAAGAAAGTAACTATTTTCTTGTTACTAATGATTCTGTTCCAAAACAGACTACTGTAAATTTACACTCTTAGTATATACGATTCAAGAATGAGGGAATAAAAATGACACTTTCTCACAAATGCGCCACATTACATATAGTAATTTCCTTTTTATTATCATCATTATTAATAGCAAAGTCGATAGTTCCATTCCCAGGCAACATAAAAGCCGATATTTTATGTATAAGACACTTGCATGTAATGTGATAACACGGTAGTTTTTTTAAAAATTTTTTCAAGATTTTATTTATTTATTTTTCAGAGAGAGGTGAAAGGGAAAGGAGAAAGGGAGGGAGAAAAACATCAATGTGCAGTTGCCTCTTGCACACCACTGGGGACCTGGCTCACTACTTAGACACACGCCCTGACTGGGAATTGAACTGGCGACTCTTTGGCTCTCAGGCTGGTGGTGTGCAATCCACTGAGCCATACCAGCCAGGGCACACAGTATAATTTTTGAGCCACTCTGGTTTACCAGTCTATTAAAAGGCAACCACACAATTAAAACCCAAACAATTAAAATAATGCAATTTTAGAGCAATTGAAAACAATGAATTGTAAAGCCAGTGTGGGAGATCTGAGTAATCTGGCCCTTCGGGTAATGTCAAGTAGAAATCCTGTTTTCTTCTTTCATCTAAGAATCAATTAAAAAGAACACACACACACACACACACACACACACACACACACACACGGAAAAAACAGAAAAACAAACTACCTGCCCTGGGCACATGTGCCTTGGGGGCACACTCCCCAGCGGGCTGATGGAGACACCATCATTCCAACATGTGCTGGAGGACTGAGGGGTCCACCTCCACGGCCTGGAGGCCCCTCTGCAAGCTCTGGAAGGTGGCCTGCTTCCCAAAGCGCTGCCTCCAGCGGACGAAGGCCTCCACCATCTGCGACTGCACGTTGTGGGGGTGGTTGGCCTTACAGCGGTAGATGTCATTCTGGGACAGTCCCAGAGACAGCACCATGGGCTCCCACTCAGGGCCCAGCCTCTGGGCCAGCTGGTTAATCTGCTGGTCGGAGGGGGAGCTGTTGAGGATGTGTGGGGGGATTCCAGCTGTCCGGTCATCTGGGGAGGAGAAAGATACCAAAGTGAAGAGAACAAGCAAACACATCAGGAGGGGGCGAAAATGAAAAACTTTGGGAGAATGACATACATTTCCAAATGTCAGGGGCCAATTTCTCCTAAGCTTCTTGGAGGCTGTTCAGTAGGAAGCCATAGATAGGGGCTTAAGAAATACCATTCGGCATCTATGAAAATTCAGCATTTATTATAGAACATTTGAAAATAAGAAAATAAAAATAACTAGAAATCCTATCAAAGAAGTCAACTGATAATAATTCGATCTATTACCTTTCAGTCCTCCAGATCTAAATCACACATTTAGGATTGCATTCCTCATGCTGCTTTGTAACCTGCAGTTTTCGCTTCCATCTCTTGCACCAGAGAGGCCAAGCAGGGGGTTGCCGCGGGGAGTGTAAGAAGGCTGCATGGGCCCCAGTTCCCTCTAGCTCTGGTCGGGGGGCACAGGGGTGACACAGTCTCCTGCAGGACTAGCTGATGCTGGAGGGCACCACAGCTCAGAGAACAGCTACTCTCCTGATAAACTTGAACGTCACCAGTAAAAGGTGTAGATTCTAACAGAAGCGGGAGCCAAGGGGCCCACTGAGAAGAAAAAAACACTTAGAGGTCACAAGGCAGCAGGGAGAGACGAGAGGCAAGCTCTCTGCTCCAGTCCAGGCCACGGGAGGAGCGCGGCCATCTGACAGAGCCCGGAGGAGGAAGAGAAAGCGTGTGTTGAGGACGGGCAACGAGAACTTGACCTTGCAGTCCTAACTGGATTCCAGTCTCTCGGAGGCCAGTCCACTGAGGAAGTCTGACCTTTAGTGAGTGACTATGTACATCCCCAACACAGGCAATGAGAAAGTGCCCGCAGTTACACAGAAGGCCTTTCAGAGGAAGGAGGTTAAAGCTAAGCCCTGAACATAGGAAGGAGCCCAGCGAGAGGGAAAGAAAAGGGTGTATGTACAGGAAGAACCGCACGTACAAAAGCCCTGTGGCAGAACATGGCACATTCAGGAAAGTGAAAGTCTACCGCAGCAAAGTGCAGAGATCCAGGACTCCAGATACCCTAAATTATTTAGTCAGGCCAGGACTAAAACTGAGGTCTTCACATTCCTGGTTCAGACATCTGTATGGCGGCACGTTGTAGTGCTACACTTTCTTTTCTTTTTTCTTTTTTCAATTTTAATTTTTTATTAAAAAAAAATTTTTCAATCATAGTTTACATCCAATATTATGTTGCGTTAGTTTCCGGTGTACAGCATAGTGCTGAGACAATCTCATAGTTTACAAAGTGAGAACTTGTACTGAGTAACTGAAATCTCCCCCGTGCCTTCATTCTTTCAATCTGGGGGCAGGATAGTGTTGCCCAGGGCGAAGTGTTACTTCTGTGACTATCCTAGATTCTCTTTTGGGATCAAGGCAAATTATTTAAGGTATCTTTTTAAATAATATGGGACACCGAAAGGCAGCTAGGGCATAGACTTGCTCCAGATTTGTAAAACTAAAGTTTTGGCAAATCTCTCATGTACTACTATACTTCCTTTCATCAGCATCACAGGCCAATCGCGCTTAACACCCACCAGGTCACTGATTTGACTTATGAATGCAGTAAGACAAAAGGTATCCCATTAGAATAGCTAATGTTTTCCACTCACATGCTTTGGCAGTTGCCATTACCTTGGGTGTGAATTGTAAAATTATTGCCAAAGACACGTTCTGGTGTTTATCAAGACTGTAATTTTTTAAGAAAAGACTAAGAAGCAATTAGAATAATGGTAATACCACTGACCAATATTTTATATTAACAGGAATAATTTTATGGCTTTTATAAAAAATACGGGCTTATTAAAGATTCAAGCAACACAAAAAAGTACAAAGAAGAAAACAAATCATCCAATATCCCATCGTATTTACAGGAGGTTGACATAATTTTGGACATGTCTTTATGCACATATACTATCAGAAGAATAACAGTTTTTTTTCCTAAGGGTTATTTAGTTTTGTTTGAGTATAACAGAAGAAAAAGAAGAAGAGAAACTAAATGACTTTCTGACCTGCAGTTTAAATACTTAAAACACACGCATGCAAGAATCAATGCTGAGAATTTTTTTTTAAGATTTAAGACATAAATTGCATGTTTTAATATTAATGACCTCCTCTCCCTTCCCTCATACCTCTTACATCATTTTTTTGCTTACATCATTTTTATTTTGCCAAGTGCATAAAATTTATAGCTTCTGTAACAATAACACCTGCTTCCCAGTTTTTTAGTCTTAAAGTTACATTATAATGGTTTGAATGTTCACCCTTGTTTATTGTTGTTGTTGTTGTTACTGTTTTTTTAAACCATATAATTTCTACTTCTGAGCCTGTTATTTTTTTAAAGATTTTATTTATTTATTTTTAGACAGAGGGGAGAAGAGGGAGAAAGGGAAGGAGAGACACATGAATGTGTGGTTGCCTCTCATACACCCCCCACCAGGGACCTGGCCTGCAACCCAAGCATGTGCCCTGACTGGGAATCGAACTGGAAACCTTTTCATTTGCAAGCCGGTCCTCAATGCACTGAGCCACACCAGCCAGGGTGAGCCTGTTATTTTGATTTAAGTATTTGGGTCAATTTCATCATAAGATGGTTTTTCTCAAGAAATGCTCATGGTTAATATTAACCCTGAGTTCTTTCAAATCAAGATTGTCTGCTTATTGCCTTCACTGCTAAATAAGTGCTTAATATTATTTGAAATTTTCATATTATATTATTTTAACATTATATTTTTAAATGATGAATATAATTTTATATTATTTTAAAAATCTTATTCCTTTTAACAAGTTTGTGGACCTTGCTCATATTTCATGGTAAAGAACGTTGGTGTGCAGAATTCTGATCCCAACTTGATATCTCCATTTCATAAGGCTTGCTTTTTCTCTCTGGAGTTTACAGTGCTGAAGCTTTAGACCAGGGCCATTTTCCCTCTGCTTTTCCAGGCACATGGCGCAACCTTGTGACCAAAGATTTAGTTCTTCCCTTGTTTCAGAAAAACCTTCTTGTGTTCTATCTTTGTCCTCTTTTTCGGCCTCACATGCTGCATGGCTTTGATTATCCTCCACAGCTGTCTTTTCCCCTCTTACTGCTTTAACTCTGTGATGGCCTCCTATGTTCCCCAAGCCACTCATTCGATTTTCCTTAATGTCTCTTCTGGTTTTTGTCCCTGGTTCAAATCTTGTTGCTTGTTTTTGTCCTCAATTTTCTTGATCTTTAATCAATCTCTTAAAAACCTCATTTCACCTCATACCCATTTGGATGACTACTATCAAAAAACAGAAAATAGACTTCCAGTCAAGATGGTGGAGTTGGTAAATGATGTGCTTGCTTCCTCCCATGATCACAGCAAAATTACAACTAAATTATAGAACAATCATCCTTGTCAAACAGCCAAATACTAGCTGAACGGAAGTCATATAACTAAGGATATAACAAAGAAGCCATGTTGAGTCTAGGAAAGCTGGAGACTCAAAACAAGCCAGTCCCACAAACACAGTGTTGTGGTTAAGAAATGAGAGGGATATCTTGGCTGTGGAGATTTCCCCATAAGGAACAAGGAGCTTTCAGCCTCATACCAGGCTCCCCAGCCTAGGGTTCCAGTGTCAGGAAGAGAAGTCTCCATAACTCTTGGCTGTGAAAACCAGCAGGGATTGCAGCTGAATGAGAAGGAGGGCTTCTAGAGTCCCAGGCATTCATCTTAAAGGGCCCCACAAATGGAATTACTAGCTCTGAGCTCCCGCACTGGGACAGCTGCTGGAAAGATGCCAAGGACATAAGGGGACAAACTGAATTGTCTGGCTCAGGAAAAGAGATGGAGAGGTAGCTTTCTCCCTAAAAGAAATGCTGGCAGACAGCATTGTTCCTGTGTTGAGCCCTCCCACAACACAGTCTGTGGGCACAGATGGGCAACAGGTCTGACTCTCCATCAGCATTGCTAACCACCTCTGCTACACCCTGGTGATTCCCTGAGGCCCTGCCCCACCCAATCTGTGGGCCAGCCCAAGATGCTTCAAAATTTCTTTCATATAAATGGCTAGTCTGTGCTCAAGATATGGACTTTTCTAAAATCTTTCAAAGGTTCACAAATGCTAAATAAGCAGTGACTGACCTCAGCGTGCTCTATAACTCTTCCTAAGTCACTCCAAGCTGACCACTCGTGGCAGCCGGCCTTGGTTTGCAGTTTAGCCTTCCCCAGGCATGTCTAAGCCCTCCACAAGCAGCAGTCATCTGGGGATCACTTTGCAGCTCCAACGGGATAGCCGCAGGCTAGGAACAAACAGTGGCTGAAGTAGCCTGCATCAGAGCCCCATCTAAAAGGCCCCAGAACCAACATGCTTAGTGGCCAGCTTCAGGTCACACCAGAATATCACGCAGTTAGCACCACAGCTAAATAATACACCTAAAGAGTGGACTCAGCAGGCCCCAGAGCCCCACCAAAGTGAATCAGGTTCCATGGGATCAACCACTGCAAAACAGTGCATCCAATGTAGTCACAGCCATTCCACAGCAAATCGGCCTGAGGATCAATCCCTTTCGCTGACAGACCAACAGCAATCAAGGCTCAACTACAACACAAGGGTACACACAACCCACACGAGGGACACCCTTGAAGCACCTGGATCAGGAGACTAGGGAGACTGTGCTACAAGGATCCACAGGACACCTACCGCATAAGATCAATCTACCAAGATGGAAGACAGAGCAGATCTACCTTATACATAAAGACAAACACAGGGAATCAGCCAAAATAAAGAGACAAAGAGACCTTCCCCAAATGAAAGAACAAAACAAAACTTCAGAAAAAGAACTAAACAAAATAAATACAAGCAACTGACCAGGATATAGAGTTCAAAATCTGGTTATAAGGACGTTCAAAAAACTTAGGGGAAGAGAAGATGAACTCAGAACATTAATAAAGAGATGGAAAACATTAAAATGAAGGTAGAAAACAAAAAATAAT